CCGCCGCCCTGCCCCAGGGCAGGGCCAGCCCGCCCCGGCCTCCCCAGGGAGAGGCTTTGTTTGGCTTTGCTTTTATTTATTTGATTTTTAATGATTTTTTTTTTCCCATGATTTTCCAGGGGCCCCGGCAGGGGTGGGCGGCTCTGCCCCAGCCCCATCACTGCGGGGTGCCCGTGGGTGGGGACAGGACTCCACTCCCACCAGCATCCCTCCATCCCTCCCTGCTCGGGAGAAGGGGAGGAAGCAGCGCGACTGGCAAGACAAGGACTGGAGACCCCAGGATCCTCACCCCATCTCCATCCTAAGCCTTCACCCCTCCATCCTCTACATCACCCGAGGAGGCTCTCGCAGGAGGCGAGATCCCAGCGTACATCTGAGGTTGGGCAGCTCAGAGAGGGGCGATGGGGGCTTGTCTGCAGGCAGATGGCCATCATCCCTGCCCACCCTGTGCCAGAGGCTGCAGGCGCCTTCAAACCAGCAGCTAAGGGACAAGAAAGGTGACAGAAGGCCAGCAGGAACTGGAGGAGGAGAGCCCTGGTCTCCCCGGTGCAACCTCTCCTTGCTGATGCTGTAATAATGTTGACGGGAGGAAGGCAGAACAGCCGAGGACATCTCGACATGAAGGGTTATGCTCATATGGCCATTTCCATGGGAAATCACACACACATATCTCCCAAAAGCGAAAACAGACAAAAATTAAGGGGTCCCTTAATTCGAGGCATGAATTAATCCTGGCACCCGCTCCAATCCCTTCCAAAAGCAGCTCATTCCCCCAAGGGGATGTAAAAGGGGTGATCCAGATGCATGCTGCATTGCGGGGTGCCCTCAATACACACAAGAAGCACCCCGGTTCCCCGATGCCAGCAGTTGGCAGCAGGATCAGCCTTGCTTCCTCTTTCCCATCATGGATGGAAGATGCTGTCAGGGACCAGGCTGGTGACAGTGGGATCCAGGAGGCATGGGGGGGAACAAAATAAGCCCCATCTTTGGTAGGACCTTCCCAGCGTATCTGGGACAGCCATGCCCTGGCTGAGAGTGGCAGGTCCAAGCTGAGATGCAGAGTGAGATCATCTCCGAAAATCTCTCCCACGCTCTGCCACTTAGCCGGGAAGATTTTTTTCAAGTTCCTTCCCCAGCCTTCTAGATGACGAGGCTTTGGCAAAGGCTATTTCATGGTGCCTGTGCCCTGATTTACCTTTCTCTGGGCCTGAATAGGGGAGGGAGAGAAAACGCTGATAAACCACATTTAGCAAAATCACCCCCATCCACGAAGCCCCCAGCCTGCAGCCGGGGGTGCTGGCAAGGGACACCTGAAGTGAACCATCAGTCCCAAAATAGATCTGTCTCAGAGGGCAAAAGGCAAATTGAATGAAAAATAAGTTACTATTTTTGAAGCCTGAATCCAGTTGTTATGGCAACCAAAGCCTCGCGCATCGTGCTGGGGAATGGCTCCAGCCCCAGCTCTGCCTCCAAACCCCGCGGCCAGAGAACTGCAGGCAGCCAGGAGCTGCTCGATGGTGGGATGCGGAGATGTCCATGGTCACACCACCTGTACCCCACTGGGACGTGCCCCCTCCCCACGTGGCAGCTCCGATCGCGTCCTCGCTTTCTTTCCTCCTCCATCCCTGGTGCTCTCCCCACCTTCTTGCAAAGATGTGCGTAATTGTAATGATGTTAAGGAGAGTTTCCAAGACTCAGGGGTACCCTGAATGCAGTGACATTTTTGTAATGCCACCAAAACGAGAGGGGGGGTGTCTTGCAGAGCTTTCCTTTAGAGGAGGAATGGGTCATGAAGCCCAGGGCTGCTTTCTCCCCAGAACATGCAAAGTCCCAAACCGTGCAGGAGTCCTATAGCTGGAGACACCTCTGTGTGTTGTCCCCCACACCTCATGACGGATCCTGGTGGGATCCTCGCTGTGGCTGGTGTGAATATCTGTGACTTTGGGTGCTAGGATGGTGGCGTTGGGCTCTCTTGGCAGCACACGCTGTAATCGCGTCTCCCCAGGGAGGGAGGTTTTCCTGCACGTCCTCTTGCTGGAGCCAGCAGGTAAGAAAAGAGACACTTTGAGATTAAAATCTGCCATTTCTTGGCAGGAAAAACCTCCCCATGAGACAAGAAACTTTGGATGGATAGAAGGAGTTATGGGACACATGGATGGGTTGGAAGCGGCTGTAGCAGAGGCGAGTGGGGGAGCAGGACCAACGGGGGGGTGGCTATGGGCCATGGCAAGGTGGACGCAGGGCCACTTGGGTTTAAGCCATTTGGAGGAGGCTCCTCGCCAGTAGCTGGAGGGTGGTGAAACACAGGGGAGCCCAGAGGGTCCCTTATACATCAGGGGGCTGCCGGGCTGCTGAAGGAGACGGCTCCATCCAGACACCAACACCCTGCGCTCCCCAGCGCGGCTCATTTCCCCCAGGTTAACTCTTTTCAGGACCAAGCCCTCGATTTTGATCCTGTTTCCAGACATTCCTAGTTCGGTTGCCTTTTTTTGCCTGCACTTTACATTATCCCCTGAGCAGCTGCCCCCTGGCTCTGGCAGCCCGGGACTCCCCCTGCTCTGAAGGTGTCTCCTGCCCACGCCTGCCTGCCCTGCGAGCTGGGGACCCCCAAAAGCCGATGCACCCGCGATGAGGCCATTGCGCTCGGGTGTGAGCTCCCTAGAACAGCCCCGGGGCAGAGCCCGCTGCCCCATCCGCTGAGCCTTGGGGACCTCCCGTGGTACGAAGCAGAACTGCAGAAGCGCCGGCGGGCGGGGACCGGGGACCGGGACCCCGTAGGGTCTGCAGGGACGGCGACAGCAAC